GAGTATAGAAAGGTTTATCAAAGATAGAGCGCTGAAATTATTTGTTTCTGTGGACGCTAACACTGAATCAGAACTGCACTCTCTTGATTCAAATGCAATATATAATCCATCAGAAAAATAATCAGGACTTCAAGTTGTATATCTGTAAAATCAGCTGAATATCTTTTCATCATAATTAACTCTTGCTACAGTGGATGATTCCCAATATAAATGAGGAAAAGTGCTTTAGTCACTAACTCGCATTTTACCAAGCAAAGATGAAGAAGACTACTTTATATGTCATTATTTGGAATCATGTCTGAATTTATTATTGATTTATTATCTAGGGACTTTAACCTCTCTAATTTACCACTTAAAGCGTAGTATATAATTTGATTTTATTGGTTTAATAAAACATATAACAATATTTATAATAATAAAAGGTTAAAATATTGTATTTAGATCAATAACGTCAAAGCCAAGTCAAATATGTTTTTCTATTATTCAAGTTATCAGCTTTAAATTGAAATTAATTTTTTTTAATTGTGAACCTAATTTCATTTGTCTTCCTAAAAACAGTTGTCATTCTATTGTAAATAAAACATTGAACAAAAATAACAAAAAATTAAATAAAAAACATAATTTAATAATAAATAAAAAAAATGTTATATTTGACAACGTCTTCGTAATTATTTCAGCTTTTAACGTCATTCCTATTTGTATTTGCACAGTTGCTCCGAATGGGGAACGTACCAAGATAACTGAATTGTCAGGAGCATGCTAAGGTGAAATATGTTCCATTGTTAAATTATCTAAGAAATCGTTAAAGAAACCGGGCAGAAAAATTATAACAACAAACATGATCGGGCAAATGTTTTGTGACAGCCTCCACAAAAAACAAAAAAACAGTTGAACTGACACTGATAATGATAGAATTGAATCCGTATTGACATAGCAGATACATGTAACAGAATATTATCAGACAAGAACGTACATTCGATTAAATTTACCCAAACGTTTAATAGAAATTCGATAAAGTGATTCTCTATTCAATGTCGGTCCTTGTGTTATGACTTCTGTGTTGTTATAGACTTTCTAATAATGTTATGTTTTAGCCAAATTGTTTATCTTACAGTTTGTTGGCAACAGTCGCAAGATACCAAGATACTCATAGCTTGCACAAGTCAAAACACACGTCAAATGTTTGTTCAGTCGTCGTATGATCGTCTATTTTGACTTGACTTCCGTGCATTGTTAAAAACATGTTTAGAAATACCCACTTCGGGTCGGATTGGAAAAACTCAAATACAATGCAAAATTCATACATTATCCATTTATGCTATACAAACAAACGTCTGCCTACAATTTTACGTCAACTGTTCATTTCAGCCAAAACATATTTTTTTCCCCTTAAGTTTTGTTAACTAATGCCGTAAATATCTCTAATGCTACCAAAACATTGTATGACAAAAATGGAAAAAAAGCAAAATAAATAAATAATATATTTCATTCGAAGCAGACAACAATTGATCTTCGTTATTGTATGAATTCAAGAAAAAAACAACACATCCGGACTTAAAGAAAAGAGTAGAAGAAAACAGAAACCAATTTTCTATAGGGCACAGAAAATCCATTTACGGTAACGTTTTTTGAATACCGAAATGCAAAAAAAAAATGCGAAGATCACTGAATCATTGATATTTTCAGAGCATTTTACTTATCAATGCACGATCGTACTTTTGAAACCATTATTATGCAAAAAGCAATGCTTCCGTTCTCAATTTTAAGAAAAAAGAAGCTTTTGAAACTTTAAAAGTTAAATTGTGGCGCCTTTTTCAACAGCGCATTGTTGCCACCTTTTGTTAAATTGAGTGAATGCTTTTCTCACAACACTACCGGGAGATGACTACGTGATGTCGCTGAAACGGATGGTGTGCGGAATTTCCAACACACATTGCATGGGAATTGTTAATTGCTTTTGAACAGAGTTTTACCGATACATCTATTATTCTGGTTAGTTAAGTGGCGGTAGTGCTTCCACTTCTGTCATCTATTGTTCTACTAACTAACATTTTCTTAACAAGCTTCGCATATTAAAATATAAATAACATATCGGTTTAAAGAAAAAAAAGGTTTACTTATGCATATGTGTGTATAGGAAATAACAAAAAAAAAAATAAAATAATAATATATTGAAAAAATTTATATCTAATTTATACCTAATAATGGCAAATCATCAGTAGTAAGATATACAGTTTATAAAACTTCCTAAAAATTTATTTCACCAAAACCATTCCATCCATACAGTATTGTATTTTTATGGCTGCGAAACATTCGTCAATGGACCGGAATGCGAGAGGTCGGCAACCTTATAAATATACCTAGACCTATACCTATACCAAAATCCAGTTGGCAAAGTTAGAAGAGGAAAAAGGCAGTATCTCGAATTCCTAGGACTGTCTCAATTTCAATACATAACATAACGATGTTCCATTATTATTCTGCACATAGAGTTAATGTTGTACAAACTTATACTGAACACTCTTCTCCTTATTTTTCGGCGAACGAAATATTTTTTTATCAACTTGAAATTTTAAAGTAAATATATATAAAATAAAGCGCACTGGTACTGAAGACCGTTCTGAATGAGTTTATGATAAAAAAATGTCCAAAATTGCACTGCACATTACAGATTCACTCGAATGATATAAGTATTGTCTGATCTAAAGACTTATATACATAAGAATGCATTACATGCTTCCTATGTATTGCATCCATTTGGATATCGTTTCCAGCATTACATGATATTTATAGTCAGCATAGTAGATCTACAGAGGAAGCTATTTGTAAAGTAACTGAAAAATCGAAAAGGTATGGTAGTGTTCCTTATATCCAACTGTGGAAAATATCGATGCTATGAACAAAAGAATGGATAAGAATTATCAATAGCCCTACGTGGATTATATATCAAAATGATTTTTATTACAAAACACAAGAAATTCAGTTGCTATAGGAACTTCAATTAGAAATATCTTTGGTTTGGCGTTAGGGAAACTTAAAACATATCCATTACTTCATGGAAAAAGTATCTTCAGCATCTATACAGTATCTCCTAAAATATCAAATTTATTATTACAATTTGTAACCTTGTTTTGAACTTTAACTCATCGTTGCCAGAGATCCAGTTGTGAAGAAAAGAAAATGGGTTACAAAATTGAGTTCACTATCTTCCAATTAACTTAAAACCGTTGAGAACTCAAAAAAGAAAGAGGAAATTTTTGTCTCACAGTGTTGTTGTTAGTAATAATTTATTTAAACTGATACGTACTTAAGGTATTTGTCCTTTTCAAACCTCATCAACAGAATACAAGAACAGTTCAGGTCCATTATAGACTAATTTATGTCAGAAAAATATTTCCTACTTGTCTTGGAAGTATTTTGGTTATAATTTGTTGGTGTTACTAACTATATTATTGGCTTATCATTGGTGCTGCTGTATTGTTTTTTGTGTAGGTATTAAATATTTTGATTTATGCAGACAACTTAAATGGTTCTAAATGTTCAATGATAGGGTGCCCAGATTTAAAATATATAGTCTAGATTCCCATTTAAAAGCTGCTCTGTACGACGGAAATACTTGAGGGGCATTGCTATATATTTCGCTGACTAAAAAAGCTTGTTGAAAAATAGAGAAAATTAGGATAGACAAAGACATAATATTAATTTACAGTATTTTTGGATTATTATTCCATTAAAATATTTTTCAACATGACAACTGATTTATTTTTGGAAGATTAGAGAACGATTGAGGACCATTAAAAAAGGATTGAAAAAATAAAAAAACTTTAGTTGGTGCACATGTACGATAGATGGACGATTGGTCGTTTCGACAATTACATTTATAGATCGTGGCGGGACCCATAGCCTCTATCTGGGGCATATAGAGTGTCCAGGTAATAAATAAATTCAGCTTTCAGTCTACTAGCGATAGTACGGTAACTGAAAGTATCGATACTTATAAATGCATGATTTTTTCACAACCAACTCCAAAATAAAACAAAAGAAAAGAAACTCCAATTAGGATTAGACGATTACAGCGGAATTACCATTTTTTCGCCCACATAAAGCCACTAATTAAATTCAGAATTATTTAAGCAATTGGATTAACAGGACGTTTTGGTGCAAGACAAATATATAAACTGACCCTACCAATTACTGTGGCAATAGTACCTCATATATAATATTTAAATATTTACATAAAAACAGCAAGAGCTCTGCAGAGACCTACACTGTGGGTTAGTGAACTTTTTAAGTTAAGGCAATAAATTCATTAAATTAAAACTTACCCAAAATCGTCGTAAAACACTTACTCCAATCCAGATCGCAGTTCTTTGCTCAATGAGATGCACTTGTTGAGGAATACAGCAGCTCCCCTTATCCTACTAAAACAGCTTTGTGGCTCCAATGGCAAATACAAATACTCCAAAATATTGATCTCAGCTCGAGAAGTAAATTTGAAAGACAAGCACATGTAAGCAGTACAAGAAATACATATAAGCGCTGTTGGAGTATAATCTAAATAATCAAAATTATTTCAACGACAAGTTTGACGCCGTGACGATATCATTAATATTCAAGGTAAGGACAGAACTGATAAGGCTGAACTATGTCCCAAACGTACAAACAACTATGTTAATACTTATTGCACTCTATGCAATATGTACGAAAAAGAAGACATCATTCATCTCATGGGACGCTGCCCTATCCTGTGTGAAATTAGATGGTTCCACTGGGGAAAAACCATTTTAACTCCATCTGAATGCTATGCTTCACTAAA